GGGCTCCGGCTTGACGGGGTGGAGGCAGGGCGAGCCGCCGGACGAGGAGGAGGACCCCCCGGTCTCCATGCGCCTCGGGGTCCAGGAGCTTCCCCGGCGGCGTGAGAAGGACGGGGGAGCGGGGTACTGGAGGCGCGGCGTGTTGCCGCCCTCGATGTACTCGAGGACGGCCTCCAACATGCGCCCGGGCACGCCCCACCACCGGCGCCGGCCATTGGAGTTGAGCCTGTCGGAGGGCACGACGCCGTTGGTGGCCTCGAGCTGCTCGGCGTGACGGCGGCGGAAGTAGGGTTCCCAGAGCGGGCTGTCGGGGACGTACCGTGGCCCCTCCCTCGCCGCCCGCGGCAGGGACGCGCGGATGCGTGCGATCTCCGCGGGTGGTGGTGGCACCGGCACGCCGCCGGCGCTGATCCTCCAAGCCCCGGGCACCCGCATGTCCGGCGGGACCGGGTACTCGGCCTCGAAAAGGAGGCGAGCCTCGTGCTCGTGGAGATGGCGGCGGCCGAAGCCGTTCGCCGCCGCGCCGTCGCCTGGGAAGCGCCCGGACATGGGTTCTGGAGACGGCGAGAGAGAGGAGAGGGAGGAACGACGACGACGAGAGAGGAGAGGGAGGAACGGCGACGGCGAGAGAGCACGAGTCGCCGAGTGCGCTGGGGCGCGTCTTATATAGCCCGAGGCGCCGCCCCGTGTGCGAGCCGCCGTGAGCACGTGTGGCGGGCGAGGGACGCGCGTCATCCGGCCTTCACTGCGCCGCCCGTGAGCATCAATGGCGCAGGCTGACCGGCGCGGCAGCGCGGCAGCTTTGGCTTTGATTCACCGCGGGAAACGAGGCGATGTGGATGACGAAGGGGCGAGAAGAGGGTAGAGTCGCTGACGCGGCGGGCCCGCGGCTGTTTCGCGCCAAAACAGTTCGCCCCGGCGCCCCCAAGCGCGCCGGGTTCAGTCTGGGTCCGTCGGCGCTGTTTTCGGCCCTAGCCGGCGAAAATCGGGCTTCTGGGGGCGCGACTGGGCCGTTTTTTCGGCACCGGCGTGAAAAAATCGCCTGAGGAGGCCTTCCTGAGGACGCGGCTGAAGATGCCCTAAGATAGACAGGCAGATAGATTCATCACAGTGGAGCTGTTGGGTCGTCCAAGCCAGTGTGCACTGTGCTGCAAGGATTAGACAGAGGATAGCATTAGTAAATCCAGACCAATGTATCATAGATCAGGGGCGGCCGGCCGGCCTATCGGTCGGCGATCCTGCTTTACTGCATACACCACGTTTTGTTTATTCAGTAATTCTGTCGTGTTACCCGTTAATCGTCGACCATAAGGGAGTACCAGTTTATTAGTCCTCCGTTTGAAGCTAATTACTCCAGTATATATATAACAATAATTTTATTTTTACTATATTAAAGTTGCTAAGCTAGGAGCCCCCTCCTTTTTGAATTTTTTAGTGCTTCACGAAGTTGACACTCACACGTGACAGCAATGAACAGTACATCCACATCCGCCTCTACCCGTCGCGTTGTCCATCGGCCCGCGGCAATCGCTGGATTTAGCTGCCATCACTCTCCCTCGCGCTTGGTCGGTCTGCAGCAAACCCTTTGTTGCAGCCGAGCCAGATGAAAAAAGGTCCAAATTGAAAATTTTGAACTGGGTAGAGATTGCTCGTCCACAGAGGGGGTCAAGACATGCAGAAAAATCAATTGGTTGAGCCATAGTCTTTCCGTTATTGTATAGAAATAGAAAGTTGCGTTGGCGTCCTAGCATGCGAAGACACATCCATCGTCTATTTCAGGTTTGTCGTTGATCAGCTCATGAACACCCGCTCCCAGCGTAACCGTGGGGGCGGTGCCCAGCCACACAAACCGAGCAGCGTCCGCAACCATCGCACCTCTCCGCTAAATCCAGCATCCCATCGCCGCCTTTTAAAGCGCATGCCGCCGCGCCTCTCCTCCTGCTCACCAGACACGCACCTGCATCTGTGCCGCCTCCACACCACCCGCCGTGCATAGTACAATCAGCATGGCCATGGCGCCATCCGCGCGAGCGTCGCTGATGCTCGCCGTGGTGCTCGCGTGCGCGCTGCTCGCCACCGGGCATGCAGAGGCCACCGGCGGCCTCGTGTGCAATCCGCTCCAGGACAAGACGTGCAAGCCGGGGGACCCCAAGGCGCCCGAGAACACGGAGGAGGGGGGCGGGTTCGGCGCGAGGCTGTCGTCGTCGCCCATTCCGGGCCACGGTATGATCGACGGAGACATCGACGACGAGTTGCCGTCGTTCAGCACCCACAAGACCATCCTCGGCCACTGGGAGGATCCGGTGCTCGAAGTCTGACATCTAAGTGCATGCTTGTGTCTTCTTGCATTCCCATTGCTTGTGTAGTTGTGTTGTTGTCCGGAAGAAAGAATGGGACAGAGGAAGAGATGAGATAGTGAGCGTGTCACGATGATCGATCCACGCTAGCTGATGACAAAATTTGCCAGTTGCCCCTGTTAATATCGTGGACGTTCAGGAAGAAGCTATAGATTCTAGTAATCGATTTGGCCTAGTTTTGGTCTTCCTATTGTTGGCCTTGGGATTTTTGGAGTGGGAGGTACCCACTCACTGTTTCGCCTTGGTCCTTCATTTCTTCAGTTTTATTTTGTTTCCTTTTAGCTTTTACTTGGTTTTTCTTTTTACTTTTTTACTCAACACATGTCTATGTTTTTTCAAACACGTAGTTTTTTTGTATACATCAAGAACAAATTTTTGTATATGTTTAATATTTTTTGAATACGCGCTTAACGTTATTTTAGAATAAATGTTTTGATGTCTACTCCTATTTTCAACACAAGTCTATATTTTCATACATATCGTACATTTCTTATATACGTCAAGAACATGTTTTTATACTTCAAAAGGTTCAAGTGCATAAATAGAATGCTTGTTTACATATATGTATTGATGTATTTTTCATACACATTATACAATTTCCGTAAACATAAGGAGCATTTTTTAAGGATATGACTAACATTTTTTAAGGACATGATGTTTTGATTTCTACCTTTTTCATATATATTATACATTTTTCGTTTACATATGAAAAAATATACACATTATTTAAGTATACGTTTTGTTGTCTAATCTGTTTATACATATTTTGTATATACATGAAACATTTTTATACATGTTTAGCTTTCTTTCTTCATATAAATGATTAAAAAGTTTCAAAACAATTTTTTTTACATTTTCCGAATGCTTTCGATATTTATTAATTGTAATAAACTTTTAAAAATGTTACTGATATTTTTAAAAGTTGTGCGATGATTTTTTAATGTACATCAACATATTTTAGACGTTGTATGAACATTTTTAAAATTAAAGTATGTTTTTAAGAAATATAAATAATAGAAAAGAAAAGAAAAAATGAACAATGGGATAAATGTAAAGAAGTACAACACGAGGAACTACCTAGGCCGGCCCACATATTTGGACATTGTTGAAATACATGTGCAAAATGTAAAATGTGTATGAAAAAAGTGCTTGAGATGCATATGAAAAATGTGTACGAAAAAAAATGGTTGAGATGCATATGTAAAATGTGTATGAATAAAATAGTAGACATCAAAGCATATGTTTGGAAAATTGTTAATCATGTAGTTTAAAAATATTAAACTTGTATAAATCAATGTTGCTGATGTATATGAAAGATTTACAACCTGTTTATAATAAATAGAAGTATAGAAAACAAAGAATACCGGTAAAAAAACAAAGAAAATGAAAAACGCAGAAAAAACCAATCAAAATTGGACAAAAATAAGAAAATGTAATACCGAGAAAACTGAAAAAAAAACTGGCAATGAAATGTAGAACACCGAAAAAAAACTTCAAGAAAAAAACCACACATAAGAACCCCACCAGCAGGAACCCATATTGGCCCGGCCAGTAACTGCAGAAAGCTTTCAGGCGAGACGGAAGGTACCATCGCAGTAAGCGATATATAGCCCTGGCGGACAAACATTGACCTATATGACACTCAAAAAAATTAAAACATTTTTTTTGAAATTAAAAAAATAAAAAAAAAATTAAAACATGGACCTATATATATGCGTCGAATAGGAATTGCCCACCTAAACATGTGCCGCAGTGCTGGCACTCCTGGTCTCCTGGACCACGTTGGTTCATTCAGGAACTACCAGCAATTAATCCGGTTCTCAAAACAAAAAATTAAAAAATCCTCAAGATGCGGTTTGGTGGGCTAATCGCCATGCAGCATGCGTCCATGTTCTGGAGTGATATCCTCCAGATTTCGCGCGAGCAACTCAGAAGTTGACCCGGCCGGCATGCGGATCTAGCTAAGCCGCGCCCGCGTGGTTTACTTTGCTCCACAGATCGGTTGATATATACGGGTGGAGATATGCTATACTAAGATATCATGTGTACCTCCGGTCGGCTTGGCAGCTATATAATTGTGTGTTTAACATGCAACGTACTGGAATCTTATTAGCTTGCGTGCGTTGCTTGCATGGCATATGGCGCAACTGGTACTAGGTCAAATGTACTTACTGTGGTGTAGTACGTGCGTGCGTGCGCCGAGATGGGGTGGTAGTTACATGTACTCCCTCCGTCTCGAAATACTTGTCAGATAGATGGATAAAATTGAATATTTCTATAACTAAAATACATCTAGATTCATTCATTTTTTCGACAAGTATTTCCGGACGGAAGGAGTACTTGTTAACTACTCCCTCCGTCCTAAAATTCTTGTCTTAAATTTATCTAAATATGGATGTATCTAGTTACATTTTAGTGTTAGATACATCCGTATCTAACAAATGTAAGATAAGAATTTTAGGACGGAGGGAGTACTAGCTAGTACCGGTCGCGTGGAGTTTGGATCATATGGCGCCATTCATCGAAGAAACATGCATCATGGCGGTGCGTGCATGAGAGATCTAAGCTATGTATTCTTGCCAATGCCGGTGTGCCGTTCATTGAACATGCCCGTTAGCCCGGTCAAATGCGCGGCGTGCGTTATTCTTGCATATCTTGATGGCATCTTTCCTTTCCTCCAACGCCGGCGTAATTAATTACCACGATCAACTGGTCTGCATGTTCTGGCACTCTCATAGGACCGCATATTTTTGCAGTGTAACGAACGACGAGCTGGCTGGTTAGACCAGCTGGACGGGTGCCATGCCATGCATGATGATGCATAGGCATGGCTAAACCAAATGCCAGAGGTTATCAACGAGAGGTAGCGCATACGGGCAAGCGGCGCACAGAGACAGAGAGCAGCAGGTCCTGCCTGCACCTCGGCGTGGGTTAATGAGTAACGACGACGACGGCGACGACGTCTGCGATCATGCATATATAGCGGCAGCATGCACGAATCAATCTTGTTCAAACTTTGGCTGTCGGCCGGCGCAGACGTGCAGTGCAGCCGTACCAGTACGGCCGCCCAGCTGCTGCCCGGGCTGACCGCATCGCATGCATGCAAGAGATGAGAGGTACGTTGACCGGCTGGCCGCCCGACCAATGGCCAGCGCCTGGTGCTAATAAGTGCGATGTCTTCCTGGCCCGTCTGCCACGAGGCCAGGCTCTCCTGACTCCGGACCCCTACTTCCAAGGGAGTGCCGCGCCTTACCACTTTGGTAAAAGAAAAACTAAATGTGAATCAAAGCTTCAATAGGTTCTTACTTTCATAGGATGTACAGTACCCAGGTGTGGTGATAGTCCTACACCCAAAAAGGACAGACATAGAAACAAGGACAAAACACTGTGAAGAAGAAGAAGAAGAAGAGGTAATAATGTGTTGGAAATGACAAGAAAAATACACTGTAAGCAAACCAAACTTGTTGTAACACTGTATGGATAGGCCGGCCTAAGTTAGCGGTGCAAACACTGTTAGAAAAAGGGTCTGTTGTCCCGGTTCGTAAGGGCCTTTAGTCCCGGTTCCTGAACCGGGACTAAAGGGTCCGTACTAATGCTCTGACCCTTTAGTTCCGGTTCAAACCAAAACCGAGACTAAAGACCCTCCACGTGGCCGGTCCACCTTTAGTCCCGGTTGATAACACCAACCGGTACTAAAGACCCGGCCTGCCCGGAGCCAGGAATGTTGCTAGCCATTTTTATGCCGACCTATGATGTCGATCTCATGGCCAAACTGCTCTATGGCCTGGATCAGGACCAGAGGGCGTTGTAGACATTGCCAGACGTGATTGTAATTCCTAAGTTTTGAGTAATTCAAGAATTATTATTCTCGCAGAAAAATAAGGTGTCATGTGATGTTGGGGAAGGCCAACAAAACACTACTACAATTAGGAAGCTCGTACCACTGCTGCACTGATATTCACTGTGTACTAGTGCTATATCTAAGGAATTTTCTCTCACATATTCGAAAATGTCACTGGTGCTACGCGTCTCCATTGCCGGCATTCGCCGGTAAATAAGCGCGGCGTGGGCCAGACGGACTCATCACACTGGACCTGGCCAACATGCATGCATGCATGCATGCTGTTGGGTCGTCCAGCTCACCAGGGCCAAGCTAAGCTAGCTAGCTACAGGGATTAGATGGAGTATATAGCACTAGTAAAACCCATTATTCCAGATCAATGCACATTACAGATTCTGCATTACTGCATACATCACGTCACGTGCTTGTTTATTCAGTAATTAAGCTTGTCGTGTTACGGTTAGCCGCCGGCCACAAGGAAGTAACCATTCATTACCCGTACGTAGTTTGAACCTAGAGTTAGCCCGCCCTGCGCCCTGGCTGGCTAGCTCGCCGTCCCATGCATGTGCGGATGTGCCTCGATGGCCACCTATTGCTCTGCCTCTGCTATTTCCTCTGTCCAAAAAAAACTTGCCGGGTGCGTTTGGTTGCAAGGATGGTCATGAATGGGTTGGGATCGTTCAAAAAATAGACATGTTTGGTTAGCCCTTGTACAATGGGAGGTGCTTAGAAAGGTGCTTAAAAAAATAAACTGAGTTTTCTGAAGCACCGGTGCCTATTTTTATAGAAGAGACGCTTAGTTAAGCGTCTACCTTGTATAAATAAGCACCGGTGCTTAAAAAAAGCCTGATTTATTTTTCGAAGGACCTCCGCTAAGCACCTCCCATTGTACAAGGCCCAAAGCACATGAATGGTTCAAGTCAAAAAAAGAGAATAAACCTTGAAGATGCTGAACCGTTCCACCCAACTAAATGGGTCGAATCAAATGGGCACCCTTTGCATACATGACTATGTGAGCATGACTGGTGGTCCCGTCCTAAATAATTAGCTCATCTCTTATATTCAGCCAAACGCATGAATTGAATGGTTCAATCCCAAATAAATTGGACGGTCTCAACCC